TGTGTTAATCATCGTGTAACTCATCGCCTCACTGTGCCGCACTTTGAATTACGTTCAGCATTTATCCCATGGAAGCTTTAAAAGTCCACTTTTTTGATAAATATTCAAGAAAAATTGTAAATTGCCACATTATTAGAGGATAAAAGTATTCTCTGTCAGGCAAACAGTCAGCTTAGTTATAGGATACATTTGGTTCCTATTGAGGCCTTGGTTTCTTCACAAGAAATTTTTAAACTTGAAAGGAAAGGCGAAATGTGAATATTATTTCCAAAATGTTATGTTGCTAAGCATTCTGCCACTTTTTTGTCCATTTCCCAGCATATGATTGAGCTGGAGCACTTGATAGAGCATTTAATGGCACATTTTTACTAACTAAGGCATGTGATCTGGCGCAGATGAAAGAAAAAGCCTGACTGAAAAAATATAACACAAAAGAGAGAAGATGGTCATAACTTCTTCTTCTCCTTGTGCCTTGTGCTTAGCCGCACGTTGGCGACGATTGTCTGTACTCTTCATACAATGTGCAGAGTGCCGTTCTCGGCTCTTCGAAATATGGTGGCTGCATCGCTGATGTTACACCAGTCCCGTATGTTTCTTAGCCAGGAGTGTTGCTTTCTTCCTCGGCCTCGACGTCCCTCTATTTTTCCTTGTAGAATTAGTTTAGGAATGTATATTTGCCTCCTCTAAGGATATGGCCGAGGTAGGAAACTTTTCTTTCTTTAACGATGTTAAGTCTTTCTCGTTCGCAGCCTGCAGTTCTCAAAATTTCTTCATTCGTGGCATGTGCGGTCCATGGCACGCGTAAGAGTCTCCGGAGAGTCCACATTTCAAACGCCTCGATGCGGTTTAGCGTTCTAGCTTTGAGAGACCACGTTTCTGCACCGTATGCTAAGATGGGCCATATGTAATAGGAAAATTTTAAGTTTGCAAACTGTTGTTTTTGCATAATTTGTTCTAAGTTTAACTTCTTCATCGCAGTCCCATCGTTCGTTGATCATGGCACCCAGATATTTAAGTCGTGATACTCGCTCTATAATATTTCCATCAACCGTCAATGCGGTTTTGCCGTATTGACTGCATATCGTATATTGTTAATTGGAATTCCGTTAATCTTAATTCCTCTACTTTCTCCTTCCAGGGCCATTTGAAAGATCTTTTCGACGTATACAGGGTTATTCACGCTATACGGCACGGAAGTTTGCGGCTAAACCGTTTAATTTTTATAAAGTATTATTTCATGAATTGTCCGACGCCTACCGAGCGCACATTTTAAAAATATTTTTGTAATGTACAGGGTGTCCCAAAAGCTCTAAAGGTATCAAAGTTGCGTTTTTT